TGCCTCCAGCCCCCACTCAATAATGGTGGAGGTATCCCTCCATCAGGGGTGTCCTCTCCATCAGTGCCCACATCCCATCTCCCTTTCTTCAGAATCCTTGCGCCTGCCTTCTGTCCTGGATCACTCCTATCCCTCTGTAAATGTGCTCTGGTAACTTGTACATTTCAACAAACCCCTCTGTATTCTAATAGAAGTTAAAACCAGACATGGCTACAAGCATCCGGAAACACAGGATTAAGCAGGACAGAAATTTCTTTCTTTGATAGACAAAGTCAAGAGGCAGGTATTCCAGAGAAAGTAGGGTGGCTCCATAAACATGAGGAGCCCAGATTTATTCTATCTTGTTGCACTAACATCCTCGGCACGTGCCTTCCACTCCAAAGTCTGGCATGGTTGCTTGAGCTCCAGCGGGATATTTAGGTATTCCACTGAGCAGGAAAGAACAAGGGCTGAGGAGGGAGCACGACTTCCTTTTAAAGCCGGTTCTCAGGTGTTGCATATGGATGCCTCCACTCACTGACTGTGGGCCGGAACTAAGTCATGTGGCCATACCTAGCTGCAAAGGAGTCCGAGAAACTTGCTTTTATTCTGGGGAGCCATGTAGCCAGGGGGAGAATGGCTCTTAGGGTCATCTAGCAATCTCTGCCAAAGCCTCCTGTGATTCCACACCCGTTTCGAGACCCCTCCTCGGTCTCTTGTTCCCTGTTAGACAAGCTGCCCAAACATGATAGTGGTTTGGCTCCCATCCCACCATTCCATGAACACTCTCCTTATCACATTTACCAATAACCTTTGTGTTGCCAGAGTCAGTGGATCCTTCCCTGTCCTCATCTTATCTGAGTTCTAGGTAGCGTCTAACATAGGTGACCAGTCTGTTCTAGAAACTCTTTCCTTTCTTCGTCTCTGGGCTGTAGCAGTCTCCTGGTTCTCCTCTGGCCTCCTCAGCCTCTCTTTGTCTTCTTTCCTGCTCTGGCTCTTTCGACTCTTCTGGGTGCCTCTTGAACCCTCTCTTCTGCAACTACCTGTTCACTCTAGGTGACTTCCTCAGATCCCACAGCCTTTATCGACTTTAAGATGATGCCTCCCAAACCCCACCTCCGGCCCAGGCCTCCCTCCGAATGACTTGACCAATGAATTGATCTCTGACCGGCATCTCAAACCCAGCATGGCTAAAACAGAATTCTTGATGCTTCTCCCTGAGCCGTAGTCCTTTCCTTCAGGCTACCTCCAATCAATGAGACACTGTCCACTGGCTTACTCCAGCCATAAACTTAAAAGTCATCTTTGGTTTCTCCCTTTCCTCCCCTGCCCCCGGCCCCCATCAGTCCTACCAACGTATCCTGTTGAGTCCACGTCCAAAATAGCTTCTCTCAACTACTCATCTTAGTGTGGCCACGATTCGGTCCAAACCACCATTATCTTTGGCCTGGGCTGCCACAACAGTCTCATTGTCTCCGCGCTTTTATTTCTGCCTGCCACCCACCCAATGTATTCTTCATGCAGCTGTAAATCAGACCGTGTTAGACTTCCTCATAAAACCCTTCAATGGTTTAATAAAAGGCCTCCATCCCTAGACACAGCCTCACATGCCCTGCCCACCTCCCAACTTGGGGGTGAAGGAAAACCATACGGCCAGAATAGCAAGCCTGGGAAGGACGATTTCCTATCCTCCTTCCCAGGCTTGCTGTTCTGGCCATATGGTTTTCTTTCAGTTCCTTCACATGTCCAGAGCTTACTTTTGTCCACAGTTTCCCTTTTTCAGGGCCTCAGTACATACTGCTCTCAACCTGGAATGTGTCAGCCTGGCTTTTCCCCAGGCTGTCCCCTCACGCATTTGACTTCAACAATTCTTCCTCAAGGACACAAAGTGACTCCTATTCTCTATCCCAGCTCCTTGCTTTTGTTTCAGCATTTACCTCAACTTGCAATTGTCCTTCCCACTAAAAGTAAGCTTTATGGAGCAGGAGGCCTCAGCTGTCTCTTTACTGCTGTACCCTCAGCATCAAAATAGGGTCTGCACAGGTACTCGATTAGGCACTCACTATCTGCTTAAAGGTAACTGAATGGACAGATTCCCCAAAGATGTCCCTGAGCTGCCTGGGATGTCATAAGCAGGCTTGTCTCCCCCTTGATAAAAAAACCTGGAATGGACTGAACCGTCTCCGTTGCAAGATCTCCTCCTTAAATAGGACTCAACCTGTTGATTTGCTTGTATTAAAATGTGGTTTACCTAGTTCCCTGGCCCAGTTTTGAGAGATGTGACTTTCCTGTTGCCCACCTAGCCCTCTTCCATTTGGATGACTTTAAGAATCACTAGCGTGCCTGTGCCTCATTTCAGAGAGGTGGGAGGAGACCATGGAGGGCAGCCTTTCTAGTACCACCCCCCTGCAATTCATCCCTGGAGTCGGCCTCCTTCCTCAAGACTGCGCTCAGCCATCTCCCCGGGACAGAACTTAGTAACAAATCTCAGCAAGCGGTCCAAAGAAAGCTTGGTATTTTTAGCACCAAGACTAGAAGGAGCAGGTCTTTGCTGCCCAGTGTGCAAAGAAATGCAAAATGTTAACTTAACTACCCTTCTCTTCAAGTTCCCCGCCCCCTGCAGTCTCCCAAGCCAGGCAGGAGCGCCTCCTATTTTCTTTCTTTCTTTTAAGTAAGCTCTATGCACAACGTGGGGCTTGAAGTCACGACCCCAAGATCAAGAGTCGCATGCTCTGCGGACTGAGCCAGCCAGGCGCCCCGCCTATTTTCAATACGGCCATTTTTCTTAATCCTGCGCTCACCCCTACACGGTCACCCCCCTACCCCCCTTGAGAGATGTTGCCTCCCCTCGGCCCCCACCACGCGGGTTTCTCCCGAGCTCAGGGCCAGCCCAATAGGAGGTAAGGCAGGGGGCGCCGACGCAGCACACCTTGGTGGGGCGCTCGCGGTGGCCCCAAAATGGGACAATGGGGAAGTCGGGTGACCAGGCCCCACCGCCGCTCGGGCAGCGCGGGCGGAAAGGCCGGGCGGCCTGGGGGAGGGGCGAGCGGGGGCCGCGTGGGGCGGGGCTGTGGGCGGGGCCCTCCGGGGGCCGGGGCGGAGCCAGGGCGGGCCCGAGGAGCGCGGGCGGCACTGCACCGCGCAGGGAAGCGGCGCTTTTTTCTCTGCTGCCGCCCGGCGCCGCGCCCCC